TATATATATATATATATATATATATATGTATGTATGCATATATGTTTATATTTATATCATAAAAATAGCTGACATTCTCAAACAATTAATGTGGACAAGCTATATTCAGCAAAGGCTAAGAAAATAAGAATTTATACATCGAGAATAAAATGAAAAACATGACTTTGGATCTTTGTATAAAAACCTTAATCAAATTACTTATACTCACCTAGTTACATTATTATGAGTTTGTATCCAAAAATTGTCAGTTGAGAAGATTTTACCTAATAAATACACGGTTGGATTAAAAATTATGGAAATTATAGACAGTTGGAAATAAAGTATTTTTATTAAATAAATACTAGTATTTTGAAATGCACTTTATACAGCAATGTTTAACCATAATTGATTGGCCAATTTTATTTGGAAAAAGAATAATAAGATCGCAGCTTTAGTAAATGATAAGTAGAATGTTAGATTTATACGCATCTATCATAAAACCAAACCATCATAGTGATGAAGTTGGCAGAACTACTCTTATATACTTACAAAAGCTACTATCCCATAAACTTCATCACCAAAACAAACATCTTCAAATTAGTCATACCACTGTTTTTTTTTTTTTAACCAATTATCTTGTAAATGATATTAGAGATTAATTTCTCAATTCTCATCGTAATAAAATCTATTTAAAGATAACAAAAGTTATTTTATATTTATGAAGTATGATTATCTGTGAAACATACTGTACTATGTTAGTGCATAATACTACTATTTATATATGTATATATGTATATATATATATATTACATTTTTTTTTTAGAAACAACCATATTTAATGAAAACAATCCCTGATTTTATTTTCTTGTGCATCCTTCAAAGGTCAACAATATTGGGGTTTGAACAGAACCTGCAATCTGGCTATTTTACAAAATCAAAGAAATAAACAAATGAAAGGATCAGAAAGTCATAAGCTACATTTTAAATCAAATAATTTAATCATAATTGAATAACAAATTCTAATGTGTTATTGATGTTTGATTTTTAAAGCTTATAAATTATAAGTTCAAACTTCCACTAGTTTCCGATACCGACAAAAACTGATCTGACATTTCAGTAATAATTGGGTTAATCCCATTTACTAAAAAAAAATAATCTTAATTACTACTACAGTAGATCAACTAACGATAAAAGTAATATAACTATTAGTACTAAATACTTTTTTAAAGTATGAGGTTGAACAGCTTTAGAGTAAATAGAACATACTCTAACATTACTATTATATATTTGTGTGAAATTTTAAAATTTAGCCCACTATGTAAACACTATATTTGTAAACATAAACTCTTACACACAGTTTTTTTTTTTATTTAAAAAATTATAATTAAAACTATATAAAATAATTTACCATCAAACACAATACTATTACAATAATCTTTCTTTTTTTTTTTAATCGCCAAGCAAAGTCTTGAATAGAATCATCATCCACAATATAGTTTTCAAAATTATAAAGGAAATATTATTCCTTTTTCTACAAGCTATTGGAAATAATAGTGTTATTCAAATTTGAAAATGGGGTTGTTGACATTAAAGGGGACAAAATAATAGAGGAAAGTCATCCAAAATGAAGAAACAGAGGCACATGCTAAATCTTGATGATATATAATTCTAAATGTGACAATCATAGATGTGGCATCACTTTTTTTTTTTTTTTTCTAATACCACAACTCAAATCCACAAATTGTCCATATGCTACCAGCTATATATATACTCAATGCTACCTAACATTGTGTTTTGAATTTGAAAATAGCATACATGCATTATTACGTAAGGATATTTAGTAGGACACATAATGCATGGAGCGGCAAAAGCAATATGCCAATAAAACCTATAAATTCAAATTTCAAACCACTTCCAATTGAATTGCTTTAAATGCAATTTTTTTCTTCAAAAGGTGAATTTACAACAATGTCACTAAAGTATGATAGAAGAGTGTGAAACAACACAAAAATGAGATAATATTAATTGTAGAAAGTAGTTTGGGATAGTAGAAATGCTTAGAAAAGAAGAGAAGAACAAGTGAGATATATCACTTTTTTCTTCAACGCAAATAAGGAGGGAAGTGTGAAAAAGAACGAACATAAACGATTAAAAATAAAAATAACAATAGTAAATGAATAAAGTAATAATAACAATGTTTAATATGTTAAAATTTATCAATTTAATTTTTTTTATTTATATAATTCAATATAAAATCATTAAAAAATTTATCTTTCTTTCACTTCTTTTCTACTTTTCTCTATCAAGCACCATTAATTTCTGACTTACGTCATTTCTCTTTATATCTTTTGTCTTTATCAAATATAACATAGGTATGTTGTGATAATAAGAGTTTAAATATCTGGTTGTGAGATTTTGTTAAGAGACAAAATTCACTTCAATAAAAATTAGCCTCCAACTATTAGTTAAAGGATATCCTTGTGTAAAAAAATATTAGTTTGATCATTTACTAAATATGAAAAGCTAACTTATCACCTATTTTTCCCTTTTGTTTTTTTTTAATTTTAGGTTTTTTTAAATTGTAAGCTTAAAGTGATATGCGATTTAGATTCTAAAATTTTAATTAAATAATTTTATTTTAAATATTACAATTGTATAATTTTAGTTTTATCTATTAAAAATCTAATAATTTTAAAATTTTTTAATTTATATTTATCATTACTAAATAATTTTTTTTTATATATTATTAGTATTATAATATTATTGATAAATTAATATCAATATTTACAGATACATTCGTAATTTTAAAAATATAAATTAATATATGTATTAATACACTTTTATAAAAATAGGAATATATTAGATAAAATAAACATATTAAAAAATTTACTTAGAAAATCTATTAGCATCGTATTAATAAAAATTATTAGATTTTTAGTGAAATACTAAAATCACACAATTTGATATTTAAAAATTAAAATTACTTAATTAAAAATTGAGAAATCAAAATTACAAATGATTAAAAAAATAAAATTACTTAATTAAAATTTGAAAGAATAAAATCGCATAATTTTCATATTTAAAAAAAAACATTTAAGCCTAGGAAGTATAATCACCTATATCTATTTCATATTTTGGTTATAGAAATGTCCTATTTAGTCACATTTTCATTAGAATTATTCTGACAATTTACTTACCCTAGTCAATACTATATAAATAATTTTGTGATAACGCAGTGTACGCGTTTTGTGATTAAATTTTCTCTATGAAAAAGTCATGCATTACCAGAAGGAAGGAAATGGAATAAATTGGTCACATGGCTACTTCTAGGCAACTAGACTTGGGTGGCTTTTATAGCCTTTGTAATCTGTACATACTTCATACCCATCACCAAAATGCATCCTATCTCTAAGATCTTGAGATCAGTAAGATCACATTATAAACAAAAGATATTAACAATGATTTTACAATTTCATTACCAATAGATTAATGGATTTGACTTAAGTATGTTTGTTCTCTTCGATTTGGACCTTTTTTTTTATATTAATTCTCTAAATTTAAAAGTAAATAGCTTCATCTCCTAATTTAAAAATAAGTCACTTTTGATCCTTATCAAGAAAAATTAAATCAATCACAAAAAATAGCGTACTAAAAGTGAATTGTTTTTAAATTAGGAGAACAATTAAGTCGCTATAAATTTGACAAAAAAAAATAGGCCCAAATTTGACGGACTAAAGAATATTTAAGCCTTGATATTTTAATCACATCCAGATTTTTTTCCTTTCAAGTTTTGGCAATAACATTGATCCCCTCAATTATAATTCGAGGTTCATTTCTTTGGGCAAAAAAGTATCCAATTAAAACAAGTGCAATTTAACCAATATCGACTTGTTTTATATCATAGGCTACTTCGATTGGGAAGTTGTTGGACCATACAAATATTCTAATTTAATATGTTGAATACCATGTATTACTTAAAAAAATAAAGGGAGATCAGAAGAATTTATATTAATTTATATATTGATAACAATAAGCCATGATTCTTAAACATATACCAAAGAAGAATATTCCCTACATTGGAAAAAGTTCTCTGTACATATAAAAAATTCCAGGGGAATAAGTTCTCCATGCAGATGCCACCGTGCTGCTACACAAATCACCAGCAAGTCTTGTTCACCAAGGTACACACAATTGGCATCAATTCCCAGGTTAATTTTCTTTGTTGATATAGAAAAAAATGGGAAAGTGGATCTCGGGTTTTAAATTCATTTGGTCTCCTCAGCTGTGACACTCTGAATTTCAGAATCAGGGGATAACTTAAACTTGAGAACCCTGTGAAGCTGACACACAGGTTTCACTTGCTTTGTTGGAGGTTGACTTGAATCAATTAGTCTTGCTCCGGAGAAAAGGTTCACTTCAGATGGTCCTGTTTCTTCATGAACCACAGGGGCATCTACACAAAGGGATGCTTTATCAGACAACTTATTTTAGCGTTTCTTATTAGTGGGAAGCAAATGCAATTAAAAATAGTTCCAAAAAAGCATGTCTTCCATATAACACGAACATCTTAACAATTTTGAAAGGATAGCTATTCTCCTGGCAACATATCGAATTCACCAACTGATTGGAAGCTAGAAAAAATAAAATAAGAAAAATAGAGGATATTCATCATTGGCTAAATCTTCTACAAGTTTATTTTAGAGTCTGCTTGAGACTAACAGCACCACCGGTGGAGAAGCAGAAATTCCAACTTCAAAATAGACTACAGTTACATTACATGAACTATTACAGGTATACTATAACGAAATAGTGTACATAGGACAACAGGAGGCCAGATGCAGCATCAACTAATGGGTGCTACTAAACAAGTCAACAGATAGAGTAGCTATGATAAATTAACTGCATCATTAAATTACACAAATTCTTTACTGGATAAATATAAATAATAACTTTTTAGTAAAAAACCATGACTCTTCATTCTCAATAAAGACAAGAATACAGACATTGTAAATGTCAAACTTGGAAAATGTGGTTTGGAAATCAGTTCTCTCTTATATTGACGCAAGTATAAAAGCACTGATGCTTAAATAATCAAGAAGGTCAGAGTATCCCGACAAGCAAGGCATGATTTCAGTTTCCAAGACCTACTTCCCTTTTTCAGACATTCTGTGCACATCAATGGTAACTCACCTTGTTCTGTAAAAGCAAGACAGGTGCCAATTGTCTCCTCATACTCCCCAATCTGTAGGCAACAACAAACCATAACAATCCTTAAATGAACATCAATGCATCATCCACTCATAGGAAAAAGAGGAGGGGGGAAGGCAACTTGAACTGCTAGCTTTAATTCAAATTATCAAACACAAAAATAACCAAAATTGATAGAAGTAACTTTAACCCGATGGAACTTCTAGCTGAAATACAACATTAAAATTATCTGCCTAATCCTAGATACAGCATTGAATAAACATACATCTAAACAAATTGACAAATTTCATAAAGTCTATATAGCTTCAATAGATTCACATGAGAGCACCAAAATATCACTTAACCCCATAAATTCCCAATAATCAAAATTCTAAAGGAACAAGAAAATTTAAACTAGGCAACTTACCAGCTTGAATTTGTCATCAATGATCAATACTGGGTTTAATGTATCAAGGCCCTATCATTAAAAATACATAATATAAGCATACTTTACAAGGTAGGAATGTAGGATATAATAAATCAATAAGGTTATTTATGGATGAACAGTTACCAGAACAATGCTAGTGACAGAAAAAAGGAAAAAGAAAAGATAGCATCCCATAGTGAAATTAGAACTTCCGGTGCCTGTCTAGCATATAGTGTACTTAATGAAATTGAAAAAGTCCACCTCTAAATACACAGTTCGGATGATCCATAAATCCAAACACAATATAAAAAGCTTAAACAGTGTAAGCAGCATGGTAATACCACACTTTAATCAAGATACATAAGGACAACACTTAGGTACAGATCCTTATGTGTAGTTGATATTGTTTTCCAATCAAAGTTGGAGTTTTACCTCCGTATTATTCAACTGCGTGTAATGCAAGTCTCATTAATATTCATTACGCATACTATTGAGATAAAACTTCAACTCTGATGGAACACCACCACTCGCACCTAAGGAACTATACCTTAAGTTTTGTTTGTTTTATCCAAAAAGAGAAAAAGGAATAATGGTCCGGTGTATAGTTGATGAACATGATACGCATGCAAAGACAAATATAAAGAAAGTTCAACAGGTTGGGAAACTTACGGTAAGAACATACTTTGCATTTGGCGGAAAGTGAATTAGGTCAGAAACACCATCCAAGTCGAGTAAAACATATTCATCTTGATCCTCAGGACATGGTGATGCAGAATTTACCTCCATATTCCTGTGCAAGTAAAAACTGACACACCATAGCAAATCTGAAACGAAGGAGGATAGTTTATGCCATTGCCCATGATTAATTTTGTTAAACAAAATATTCCGCAATGAAGGGTATTCTAAATTCCAACATACAAAACTACAAAAACAAACCTAAAAGTAGTTCCAGAAGCTAAACCCTATGATGATTTTATCATATTGCATGAGTAAAAGAAACCTAAAAGTGAAAAAGGTGGTTGCTTTGGTCGTGCATGAACCTGAATGGAGTGATATAGATGTTAAACGACGTCGTTGAGGGTTGTGCGATGCTCTGAGACTGAACGAGATAGGGCAACACGGAGGCAGGGTACAGATCTTCTCTTGATTGTGACTAATGGAAATACTAATGTTTACGGAATTATACTATTATTTAGGTATTTATCTTAATTTTAAAATTATTTTGTCATTTTATCTCTTAAAATATTTATTTCAATTTTTTTATCTTTTAAATTAGATTAATTTAATCCTTTTAAAATAATATTTGTTTTTTGATTTTGTGAAATTAAAAATTTAATTAATGCTTGAATTCAAAACAATTATAATTATTAAACATAGTGAAAAAAAATTGTGTGAAAAATAAATTTTATGAAAAATCGGAAAATAATCTTCTTCTTCTTTTTTTTTTCTTCCAATTTTTCAGTTGTTTGTATACAATTGTTTAACATGTTTATTACTCTCTTTTTTTATTCCAAAACTTTTGTGTTTAATAATTTTTATGGAAGTAAATCTTAAATCCACTCTTTTCATATTAAACAACATTGCATAAAACTATTTTTAGGAAATTTTATTGATAAGATAATTTTTAGGCTTTTTTTTATTGAAAGAGATAATTTCTAGACTTTTTTTAGTTTTTTTTTTATCTAATTGAACATTTTTTATTTATTAATTATTTTTTTACACTATTTATTAATTAAATTTTAATTATCAATAATTAAAAATAATATTTATCATCATCAAGATTATAAATATATATTACTTAAATAGGTAAAAATTTATATAATTGTAATATTTGAAAAATTAAAATCACACATTTATGATATTTTAAAGACTAAAATTATTTAATTAAAAATTAAGATAGTAAAATTACACAACTATAATATTTAAAAGACTAAAATTACACAATAATTATTCTTTACGAGTCAAAAATGCTCTTAAACCTATTTTTAACTATTGTTTTCAATAAAAATGTTTTTTGTGATATTTTCATCTTTAACAATTTATATTTTTTCATTTGAAAAATGTATATATATATATATATCATTTTTTATTTTTTAAAATTAAATTTAATATTATTTAAAAATATTTTTCAATAATAATCTTCTCTATATCCCCCTCTATTAATTAAAATCAATCCATATATATAAAACATGAATCTCTATCTCACACAAAAATGTTTTTAAAGATTTTTATTCAATGAAAAGGTTTGTAGGAACTTTTTCAACTTTTTTTATCTAATTCAATTTTTATTTATCATAACTATTTATTAATTAATTATTAATATTTTAAAATAAATTATTAATAAATAAAAATATTTTTTTTACAATATAAATTATTTATCATAAATTTAAGATATAATTTATGTTTATAAAATATTTATATATACTAATTTTAATTGTATATAATAAGTATACTTATGTATTACATACACTAAAATGCTAGTGATAGCATATTCTTAAAAAAATTCTTAACATCTTATCTCTTTTAATTTATCATTCTCATTTTTAATTTTTTATTATATTTTTTGTTATATAAAATAAAAAGTTATTCCTTATATAAACTAAAATACTAATATAATCCATATAATGAAAACTATTTATTTCTTATAAATTTTAATAATATAATTTACGTATTTTAAGTTATTTATTTATCATAAACTAATGTTTTATCATATGCATTACACAATTTAAATATAAATTGTACATAAATCGTGTCAAACCATGCAAATTACTTTGTACTCACATTCAAACTATAACAAAAAATAACATGAAAAAGCACACAAATGCAGAGGTACCGCAACAGAAAATAATTACACAAGATGAAGCGCAAATACAGACAGCTGAGGAAAAAATACTGTTACAATGCATCACTCAAAGAAAGTGACACCTGGGAAAAAAAATTGAACACTTTAAATATTGGTGTTCATGTCAAGCATAACACTTTCGAAGGAGGGAAAAAAAAAAAAAAACTACTCTGGCAATTTGTCCTTCAAATAATTCAGAACAGCTTTAGTTCCTCTATCCAACAGGGTCCTTCGAATGCTGAAACAAATTATAAAAAAAAATTATTAATATTTCCATCAACAAATGTTATCACATATCAGTTCATTTTGGATAACTAGTTTTTCTCATATGTTGAGATTTAGATGATATTTTGTTATGCGTTAACTATTTTAGAGTTAGTTGACTTACAATATTAGGTGGAAATTAGTTTGTTAACTGGTTGAACAAGTTATAACAAAATTTGTAAAACTAACTCTTTAAATAGTTAGTTTGTGGTTAAAAACAAGAGTCATGAATCATTATGTAATTTTCCTCTTACACTCTCAATGCAATAAGACTCGAAGTTCTTTCTTTCAATACTGTCTGTTTCTATAAATTTCATATCATATTTTATGTTTTATGAGGGGCTTAATTAAAGGCGCACGACTCATTACTTCTTTATGCTTTGTGAGTAGCTTAATTAAAGACGCATGAGAGTCATGACACGTTTCTTCCATAGACGTGAAGTTATCAAGTAAAATCTTATCTAAAGCTTGTTTAAATATAAGGTAAAAGTAATTTTAAAAACTTTTTAATCGAAAGAACTTTTTCCAATAAAAAATCCTAAAAAGATCATTCTAAACTTATATCCAAAAATACTCTCAATATTAATTACACTTTACCCTTTGCAATTAAACACTTCTTCCATATACTATGTTTAAAACTCTAGTTAAATTAAGCAAACCTGACAAAACTTGACATTTTTCACTTTAATTCAAAATTCAGGAGGATTAGTGACGCAAACTTTAGAGTAAGTTGAGAAGGTGCTAAAACTATACGGAAATAATCATGTAATTTAGTCCTAATACCATACAAATATGAACATAATGAAATTGGTGTCACAGAAGCATCGAAGAACCGTACACTTCAATCAAGGACACAGTTGATTATGGAACAGTTAGAAGAAAGGGGGAATAACTTAAAATGCACTTCTTGGCAATGATCTTTGGGATTTATCTTTATGCATTTGAAAATTGTTAACCCTAAAGCACAAATATAACAGAGATGCAAACACCATTTATACCTATAAAACCCAGATTATTGTCAAATAATAGTTGTTCATTTTGAGAAAGCACAAGGAAAGGTCGGGGCAGGGGGAAGTTACCTTCTGAGAGGATTCCCATCAAGTCTCAACGCCTGAAGGCTTGGTTCCAGCAAACCCTGATCAAATCAATTTCTTAAAATAAATTCAATGAATCAAATTTACAAAAACAAGCTACGAATTCCACAAATGCAGATGATCAAAGTGACGGAATGGAGACTGAGACAATAAATTCAATAAAAAAATTTCCTATTTGACTTTTTTGCATGCCCAACATTACCTGATTTCTTAAAATACATTTATATGAGAACTATAGTCACAATAAGGAAATGAAATCAGTCCTATACTTTACATAAGAATGAATGAACATGCCATTTTTAACTTTATTTTTTTTAGTTTTTAACTTCAATTTTTTGAACTAACTGTGTACATTTTTTTTTCTAATTTAATTATTTTCTCCTTAATCTATATTGTTTGGTTTCAATATATTTTTACTTATCTTCACCTTTTCTATATATTTTTCTATTGAGTTTTATTTTTATATTTCATATAAATTTGGAAAAGAAAAAAAAAAAGCAATACACGGGACTTGCTAGTTAAGTCAACAAAATGAACAGCCACTCTCCTCTTTTGAGAGAGACTGTTTGTTTCTCACCAGCTCAGGTGGAAGGACTGAGATGTTGTTATCAGATAGGTCAAGCTCCCTGAGAGAAGTGAGATTTTTTAACCCCTGGAAAGAAGCTCATAGGTAAGCAAAGGAAAAATTAATAATAGCAAAATTTAGTATTTATTAAATAGTTCGTTGCCTCTATTAGACAAGTTTTAGGAGTTGAGTTTGCATGTATGCATGCATCTCTATACATACAAATTGCTGGACCCTAAGCTATAATCATTGTCTAACCAATATGAAGTTCACGGATGTTACCATAACTTCCACAGGATATAAATAAAGAAGCAGTTACACAAGCTTAATCCCTATTTTCTACCCAAAAAGAATTTTTTTTACCACTGGAATTGATTGAAGGGAATTCTGACTCAAGTCAAGGATCTGTAGCTGATGCAACCCCACTATATCTGACGGGACTTCACTGAGCCTTGTTCTTCTGTTAGTGTTGTGATGTGAAAGTTAAGCACAAGATCCCAAGAATATAAAGATAAAATATGAAAGTTAAATCTCCGTGTATCTGTGTAAAGGTGTCTCTCTTCTCACCCATACCATAGATTTCAGGTAACCAACCTTAGGTAAAGCTCTTGCAGGTATAGTAAACTAGAAAATGCAGGACCATCTAATAATGAAGCTGCATTACCACTTAAATCCAGGATCTGAAGCTTAGGCACCGCTTCAAAGCCATCTGAAGGTATCTATTGCCCAAATGAAAGATAAGGTCAGTCATATCATACATCTGATTTGAATTTATAGTACTGAATAAAGCACGTGGACACAGAAATTTCATATTACTGTTGGGATTTCTTCCACTATAATCTCTAATCAATACTGGAAGAAAAAATAATATCTGGAAATGTTTCATTACATGCAGCAGAGTACCCGGTTATTATAAAAAATCTAACCTCAAAATTTTGAGAAGTACCAACAACTAACCATTTTGGCCATTGATTACCTTTTCAATTTCTCTTTTATTTTTTGGGTGTGGGGGGCAGATTAAATAGTACTGTTGTTTAGTGAAAAGAAAGAGAAAAAAATTCAACTCGTCAATGATGCTCAACTATGAAGGAATTAAAACATCATTGCCTTTTTTATTTATGTTAAGATAACTATAAATTATACCAACTGTAATGACCACCAATGAAAGAGAAAAAAGTTATTTATATGGATCTTACAATTGAAAAATCATATTAATTTATTTACGAAGTATGTCCTGCAACGTTCCTATGTACATGTTGATACCATTATTTATTTCATAAGAAAAAAACAGAGAAGCTCTCAAAGCATTAGTTGTTACCTTCCTGAGGGGATTGTTGTCCAGTTTCAAACATGTAAGACTCGAAAGTGATTTAAGAATTGAACCAGGCCAGTCTTTAATTTGATTCTTT